GTTTTTTTTTGTGCTGAACATTTTTTGGTTTTGTTTTCTTCCTCGTTCACAGCCGCTTGTCGGTAGTATGTAGCGTGGTTGTGTTTTGTTTTGTTTTTCTCAGTGATTTGCAGTTTTTAATGACTGGCGCATGGCATGCGCATTCGCTTCGGTTTTTTCCTTTTCTTCTTTTTTGTTTTTTCTCTTTAATTAATTGGCTTTTCCTTCTTCACTTTGTTCCTTTATTTTGATTTCTTCTTCTTCTTCTTTTTTTTTATTTGAAGGGGGAGATGTAGTGATGTAATCATGTACATATGTATAGTGTGCGCATGCGTGCATGCTTGCAGTAGAGAACTCGCAGAGCTTGAAGACGAAGCCTGCAATGGCTACCTCCAGACTTGCATTGTTGTAGTGTTGCCCATCTACACGTACGGAACGTCGTTGTATTCAGTTGATTGACCGAGGCCGGTGCCCTCAGTGCGTACAGAACTTTGGTTGTGTTCAGTTGATTGACCGGGGCCGGTGCCCTCAGTGCGTACAGAACGTCGTTATATTCAGTTGATTGACCGAGGCCGGTGCCCTCCGTGCGTGCAGAACTATGGTTGTATTCAGTTGAATGACCGGGGCCGGTGCCCTCAGTGCGTACAGAACGTCGTTGTATTCAGTTGATTGACCGGGGCCGGTGCCCTCAGTGCGTACAAAACGTCATTGTATTCAGTTGAGTGACCGGGGCCGGTTCCCTCTGCGCGTATAGAACGTCGTTGTATTCAGTTGGTCGACCGGGGTCTGTGCCCTCAGTGCGTACAGAACGTCGTTGTATTCAGTTGATTGACCGGGGTCGGTGCCCTCAGTGCGTACAGAACGTCGTTGTATTCAGTTGATTGACCGGTGCCAGTGCCCTCAGTGCGTACAGAACTTTGGTTGTATTCAGTTGATTGACCGGGGCCGGTGCCCTCAGCGTGCACAGAACGTCGTTGTATTCAGTTGATTGACCGGGTCGGTGCCCTCAGTGTGTACAGAACGTCGTGGTATTCAATTGATTGACAGGGGCCGGTGCCCTCAGTGTGTACAGATTGTTGTTGTATTCAGTTGATTGACCGGGGCCGGAGCCCTCAGTGCGTACAGAACGTCGTTGTATGCTGTACACATGTATTGTTGATCCGATGTGACCAGCGCACTACATTTATGTGTGTACTGTCTATCCACAGCTGCATGGCCTGCGCCCTAGGGCCGCTAGACGTGCGATCGGATTTCCATGTTCATGACAGTACTTGACAATTATCCCCACCCCCTCCTCCCCCCTCCCCCTACACACAGAACTCTTGCCAACACCCCCCCCCCCCTTCCTGGACGCACGCATGCATCCATTACCAACACTCCCACTCCCCCCCCCCTCCACCAGACACATTACATGTACTTGTCAATTACCCCCGCCCCCACCCAGCTCGCCTCCACCCTCCCCCCTCCCCCCTCCTCCCTCTACACACACAACTCTTGGCAATACCACTACCACCCTACTACCCGTCCACCACCATCTAACGTAAGTATACAAAGTTTCGGTGCATTTAAATATCAGCCTCCCAGGCCTTAAACATATTTTGACACATTAACCTCTTTAGCGCGAGTGTCGTACTAGTACGACGCACATGAGTTGCATGCCCCACGACCGTCGTACTAGTACGACGCACTTGAGTTGCATGCCCCACGACCGTCGTACTAGTACGACGCACATGAGTTGCATGCCCCACGACAGTCGTACTAGTACGACGCGCGCTGTACACTGTACAGTGAACCTGCATCTCATAGTCGTGGGGTCCGTGTTGAGTCCATAGTGACTTGTTCAAACTATCGTAACTCACTCAATACTTGGTCGATTCTCACAATCGAAACATGTATCTGCAAGAGAAAACTCTCAGCTGGCGATAGAAACGTTGTATTTCTCGCCGGCCGAGCGCAGCGAGATAGGCGAGAAATGATTTCTCGCGAAATATTTTTCAGTTGCAAATATGGCATCTGGTGTGTTCTTTGTTGTCGCTTCTTTTCCTGACTTCTTCAGTCAGTTTTGAGTCTCACCAGTGTCCCTGCCCTCCCACCCTTTATTTCTGTGCATATTATCAATGCTTTTTATCACTGTTTGCCGTGATGTGCTTGCCATGCCTACATGATGCCTAATCGCCATTGGGGATATACACCCGGTTTTTTCCCTCACAAATGCGTCCGTCGGCGCGAGGGTTTTTTCCCGGCTGGCTCGGTCCAGGAAAATTAATCTGACGGTCCCAAGTGGTTCTGCATCATGGCCTATTTCTGCTATCCACTGGCACGACTATTCTTTCTGAGACACTCTGTTCTCAGTCCTTGCTTGCTTCCATACCTCACTCGTTATCCGGTTCACATCTGGCTGCGGCCAACTACCCTTCAGTCACATCTGGCTGCGGCCAACTACCCTTCACTTTGTGTGTTGTCGCTATTGCTGTCTATGTCTCTGTGTATGCCAGTATATGTGGAGCGAGAAGACTACCGGTTGTTGAGATATGTGACTCGACACGGCAAATTTCAACTCGATTTTTTTGCGCAGTCCGCAGAACGCGTATTTTCCATAGGGCTTGAATTTGCTACGTCACAGCATAGCAACAACTTCAAAAAATCAAAAACTGGATGCACTTGGATTCAGTTTTTGTATGGATCCAAGCACATTTCAAGTGGTCTTACTCACAGCAAGGTGATGTAGCCAGTGAAACTGACGGATTTGGCTAATGAGGGCGGGATGACAACTGGTGCCGAAATTAAAGTCACACCTGTATGCGACATGAGTGGGTTGCTATGCACCCACATACTTAGGCAATAGCAAAGTCACACCTTAGTGGATCCAAAATAGAAATCTGATGTCAACTTACTACTCCCTGGCCGTTTTTGACGTCATCACTTTCAAGCCCTATTGTGGATCATGTTTGCACTACCTGCTGCCATGGAAACAAGATTCGAATGATGCTAGTGGATCCCTTGAATCCCAACAAATAAATTGAGCTCCATACGAGCAAGGAGACCGAAAAGGGAGCTGAATATTTGAGCTCGGTTAGTCTTAGCCGTGCTCAAGTCTGTCGAGCGTGTGCATGAAGTTTGCTAGACTGTAGCACGGGTTTTGGTTTCGCTCCGAGCTGGGTTTGACACCAGTTTGTTTCTCGTATCCAGACCTTTCCAGGAAGCTCAAGATCGTGGAATTCGTCCATGGGAAGGTAAGGTTATCGACCTTTAACAGCTAGTACTTTCATGGGAAAATGCGACCTTTACATGTGTTGACATGGGGCGCCTTCAGGTAGCGTCGTGCTAAAGAGGTTAAAATGTCAGCCTATTCTGCTGCTGCCTCTCTACACTGTCACACTGAACCTTGCAAAACTGAAATAACAGCCGCAACAAATTTAACACCAAAAATCCCCCCAATTCCCATGCCGAAAATAAGTGAGAATACTTCCTCCGCATCATCGAAATTGTCGCAGTTTGACTGGTGACGTGTCACTTGTTACTGACAACTCAATAAGCTAAACCATACAAAAATTATTACACAGTATGATAGTCTGAAGGCGAGAGTAACGTTCCAGAACAGTTGGACTGGGAGTTTAACGTGGAGATGAAGGCCTCGTCGTCGCTGATGTCAATGGCCGCAAAAATATCGTTCCGAGAAAATTTCCAGGTAGGTTGTAAGTTGGTCGCCCCTCATCTTAAACGTTTTGACTTTCTCCACAGGACAAGAGCTGCTATGCTTATCGGCTACTAGCTCTGGACGATTTCTACTTCACCGCCAACAAAGTAAGAATACACGATCGTTGCGAGGTCGGTTGATTACCGTCGGCGGAATCACCTCGATGTTGAAATGAACTTTTTTTATCAGTGGCATACTGTCTTTTTCAGCATCACTGCATACGACACCTGCGCGTGCATCACCAGCACTACACGTAGAGTCTACACATCACCAGCACTACACGTAGAGTCTACACATCACCAGCACTACACGTAGAGTCTACACATCACCAGCACTACACGTAGAGTCTACACATCACCAGCACTACACGTAGAGTCTACACATCACCAGCACTACACGTAGAGTCTACACATCTCCAGCACTACACGTAGAGTCTACACATCACCAGCACTACACGTAGAGTCTACACATCACCAGCACTACACGTAGAGTCTACACGGCTCTTGCACGTACAATCATGTACTGAGTGTCTCAGACAGAGCGACACATTTTATCGCTCTTGCATGCATTTAGTTTGCTGACCCCTCAATGTTTCTCCAAGCGCTGCGGCTTGTTCCACGAAGTCACTCTCACCCCAGCTAAGGCAAAACAGTGAAGAGGCTTTGAGTGAATGGCTATAAGCACAAGAAAAGTGCAGGCTGACTGATGTCAGCAAGTCGAATGTACCATCGCAGCGACATCAGCGAAGAAATTGTGTCTAGTTCAAAATTTGAGCTTCCAATAACAGATAATAGAACTTTGCCGCCACCCTATACTGATGACTATCGCCTATATCCGATTCCTTACCTGTGGTATGACTGCTGGTGAGTAAATACCCCGTTTTATAATTATCAAAAATTAAATTATGAACTGGTTTTGAGGGAAAGAGACAAACGGGAAAAGTCTGAAGAAAAAATTGACTGTCACCACCAGGACTCGAACCAGGGACCCTCGCTTGTAGCCAGCGATGCTCTAACCACTGAGCTATGGTGTAGTCGTCATCCAAGCAGAGACCGTTCAACGTTTTCTTCAGACTTCGTAACTCACACTTCCTGTGAATCCACACAGGCGGGTGGGACGCAGCCCTCACTGTACCCACACACTTCACGTACAAACTAGCACGCGGGGAGCCCCAAGTCATAAAATATGAACTGGTTTTGAGGGAAAGAGACAATTAAAATATTAAATTGCGACAATTTCGATGACGCGGAGGAAGTATAAGTGTTGATTTACAGTATAGCGGCATACACATTTCCTCACCAAATCAGTGTTGTTCTTAGCTTACCCGTGGTCGAGGTGTCTTTACATCGCAGCCAAACGGACAACAGGAGTATCCATACTGACATTCTTCCTCGTGTTTCTGCAGTAAATCAATATCATGATTCACCCACACTAGCTGAACTTATCCCTGTCCATAAAGTGATCAAATCCCGAACGGGCTGACATCCAGTACATGTAAGGTGGAACAAAATTGTATTGTAACAGTGTGAGCGGACAAGGTAGAAATGGAACGTTAGCTGCATGAGATCATTTTGAGATACAGGCGTTTGAAGTTTGGCAAACTGTGGCATATTTTTTACCTGGGTTAGAGGGCTCTAACACAGTTAATTGGGAACTCGTGGCCTGGCACGAGGGAAACATGGATGCAGTGAATGGGATTTCGGTCTTTGACCACTTTGTCGTGGGTCTGATCTACTCACCTCCCACCGCTTAGGAGCTGCATCTGCGCCTTGATCCAAGAGGGTGGTGGCGTTCCTGCGGATGCGGAAAACTGGGCCTTTGGCCGAGTCTCACGCGAACCGTGAATTTTTTTTTTTTTTTTTTTTTAGAGGGCTCTATTTGCATCAAGCGCTTGTGCCTCGCTCAGCACAGGGCTTCAAGGTTCAGCACTCAAAATTTGAAGTGAATCCGTTATGGCTGAAGGAAGATATGGCAGCTAGTTGTGCGACGGGTGGCGTATTGACGGGCGAATTTGGAGGTGACGGCGATCAGCTGATAGCCTGCTGTCAGGTGCTGAGAGCTTCTCTGATTCTGAGAGCGTTTCTGAGTCAGGTAGTAGTCGAGAGCGTCTTCCACTACGCCGAAAACGACGGGGCGATCAGCGTTTTGTTTGCTGCTAGCTTCAGCGCGGTACAAAAAGACATAGGGAACAAATGAGATGGATCTTTCAGATGCAGGCGAACGTGGTGACAGCAGTGATGATGATAACACCAATGAAGAGGAACGTTCCTGTGGATGATGAGTTGTACTGAATGTATACGCCGAACCGACTTCAGAGCTCTGAAGCACACAGGGCAGGAGCTGAAGAAACAATAGCGTCGTGCACCACAGGGGAACGTATACCTGGTATATAGGGACTTAATACTAGCCCAGAACAACTAGCTAGCTGTTGCCCAATACATTGGATGCAAGTGGCAGACCTGCAACGTGCACTGTCTGGAAATCAGTGTTTTAAGAATTGAGATACACAGAATGGTCAAGGCTGGTGAACATGAGCTGAGTGGAAAGAAGTCAAATCGGGCCTCGGATTGCGGACTGATGTGTAACGTTACGTTAAGTACAGTTTCTCAAGTCTGTGGACTCGTGGACTTCGCCAATGGGCACCGTATTGGTGGTGCCTCTCCGGAATATTATTTCGATGCTGTGTGTTCAAGAGCTGTCTGTCTCCTGCCAAAATGTTACTAACTATATTACCAAGGTGCGCCGCTCAGTCGTCGGGAGCCTTAATGCATCAGAGCAGAGTCCAAGGTCGCCAACAGTATACGATGAGAGCGTGCACACATGGCTGAAGCAAGAACGCACTGGAATTACCATTCGTCCACCAAATTCTTCTATTTTTGACATGTGTGTAGTGGTATTTGATATGTGGATTGAGTACCAGCTTCAACAGTCCTATTATTTTGCCTTGCATCACGAGTTACTCTGGAGCTGATTTTTCGGCTCCGGCTGTTTCTAGTTATGTGGTTTTGTTGCTTGGTTCCACCTCAAACGAGTCCATGTGTGTGATCAGCTCATCTTTCACACTGATATACACTTGTGGAGAAATACAGGCCAAGATATTGGTTTTTTTTTCAGTGTTTAGGTTGTACTGCAGGGTGGACTGTTTAAATCATCCCGAAATAGACGTTAAAATACTGACCGGCATCTAGAAAATGGTGAATGTAAGGCACTTCCCACCATAGTATCAGCCTGAAACTTTGGGATCTGAAAAACAGATAGTTGTAGGTGACCTTCATGCAAAAAAAACAGTTTTTGCCAGACTGCAGTTAACGTTCCATTTCTACCTTGTCCGCTCACTCCGAGTTTCACGCTTGCCTGATCATCAGGTAACAAACACGTGTTATCTAACACGGAATGGGGTTTTGAATGAATGCCTGATGATCGCACAAACAAGAAAGGAACTCGGAGTTTGAATAAAATGTTCTGCCACCATGTTTGTCATTCTCCACACATACATGTACATATACATATAGCTGTACACACATCTTTACTCAGATATTTACTCAATACCTACCTAGCATAATCACCAGTCTAAAGCTATACACCATCAATCATCATCACTTGTACCTACTAACAATGAAATACAGCTTACCACATAATCTCTGAGGCTACCACTCCATTCACATGGCCCCGAATCACACTTGACCGTTTGCTTTTCCAGCTCAATTGCCAAGTCTTTCTCATCCACCAGCTGAGAAAACAAAAACAGGAAATGAGTGAGGTAAGCATTAGGACAGCAAGTCATGTGATTAATACCATCAAGAGTCTATAACCCCCCAGAGTGTGCAACTCGTGATCCTTCTCAGCACAAATCAGTGCCGCAACGAAATCCAAACTTCATACGTCATGTAGTGAGTAGCTATGATGAAATGGGAAGTTTGGCCCGGACCTACTTCGCCCGTTTGCCCAATTTGGGGTCTTTCTTTAAGAATCCACGGCCAGGTACTGTAAGTAACACGCCTGGAAAGGCTCAAGTACACAAAGAATTATTTTTAATAGAGTTGTCGAACAGTTTTCTCTTTTGAGTGTCTCTCCGATAAGAGAAGAACAATGGCCACTGTTGAACCTAAAGCAAAGCGCTCCCCATTGTCGCCGGAGTGCAGTGTCTCTGTGAACGATATTCGTCAGTTTTTGCTCGATCTGGGCTCCTCATTTTCTTCTCTCGATTGTCGAGTGTTGGAAATTGTACCAAAATGGGACTGAGGAGCAGGTTGAAGCACATCTACTTCGAAATCGATCGGGTCTTCATGCCGTGTGCCAAGAGCTATTTCCATCAAATCTATTTCCATCAAATCTTGTAAATCTATATCCATGCCTATTCTTGCTATCCCGGAGTCACGAACTCTCCCAATACAAGCTTTTCAGACAACGAGCAGAGAAACTCTCTTCAAATAAAAAATTCTGTGACTGTGAAATCAAAGCCGTTCTGCTGACACTGCATTGCCCGTGGAGCAAACGTTTTACGTGACACTTCCGTGGCTTGCTTCAAAGCAACCTTCAGTTCAAGTTACCGTAAAGTCGCGGATAAAATCCAGGTTTGCATACAAGCACATCGCGGATAGAAGCCTGAAAATCAAACGGGTCAAATGCATATAAGCCTGTCGCGCGTAGAAGCCTGGCTTCTATGCAAGCGCGGATCGGGTAGGTCAAGACTGCATGCGCTATGTACAGTGCATAGTAAAACTGCCGCCATACTGGTAGTCAGTGGTAGATCTATGCATGCCGCGCGTGGAAGCCTGGCTTCTACGCAAGTGTGGTGCATATAAGCATGGTTTGCATACAAGCCTGATTTGCATTAAAGCCTGATGCAGAAAGCGGCTTATGTGCTTATAAGCGATTATCCGCGACTTTACGGTAGTTACTTGGAACCCCCGCCGGATGTACCAGATATGCACATGGCCCAATCCGCCCATGCTTGCCCGGGGACCGGATGACGCAATGTTTGGATTTCGTTGCGCCAGACCCCAACCTGGAGTTGCACACTCTGGGGGGGGGGGGGGGGGGTTATGGACTCTTGATACCATGTAGACATCCAATCAAAGCGATGGAGAGTGAGAGTGCAGTATCTGTGGTTAGTTGAATCAGGTCCATTGCTCTAACCATGGCTATCTGTCTGAATACAGTATCTATGGTTGGTTGAATCAGGTCCACTGCTCTAACCATGGCTATCTGTCTGAACACAGTATCTATGGTTAGTTGAATCAGGTCCACTGCTCTAACCATGGCTATCTGTCTGAACACAATATCTGTGGTTAGTTGAATCAGGTCCACTGCTCTAACCATGGCTATCTGTCTGAATACAGTATCTGTGGTTAGTTGAATCAGGTCCACTGCTCTAACCATGGCTATCTGTCTGAATACAGTATCTATGGTTAGTTGAATCAGGTCCACTGCTCTAACCATGGCTATCTGTCTGAATATAGTAATAATAACTATTATACCTGCCATGAGTGAGTATGATATTCAAATTGTCAAATACTGTCGACCTACCCTTATAACGATATTTGCGTCACACCAAGAAATATTGTTATAAGGGTAATATTGTTATAGGGGTAACTGTTTCATTTCATACACATACGTCATAATGCATGGATTTTGTTCATTTTTTACATTCTCCATAGCATAAAAACTGACATACATGCACATTATGTGCACAGCAAGGTGCCCACTGGTGCCCCCATTGCATTTCGCCATGTCCCAACGACTTATCAAGTGAAGCTTGCCCTACCTGGATAGTAGGCTCTACAGATTCCCTGCTAGATATTGTTATAAAATGGAAAATGTCGATTGGTCAGCCCATTTTATATCGTTATAGGGGTAATATCGTTATAGCAATATTGTTATAGAGGTAAGGCATTGTATACACAAGTCAATGGAGTGATTTGGTTTGGCAGAAAAATATCGTTATAAGAGTAATATCGTTATAGAGGTTATCGTTATAAGGGTAGGTCGACTGTACTAGGACTTGATAATCATTGCCTCTACTTTCTCGCTCCACATATACTGGCACACACAGAGACATAGACAGCAATAGCGACACTACAGAAAGTGAAGGGTAGTTTGCTGCAGCCAGATGTGACTGATAAGGGTAGTTGGCCACAGCCGGATGTGAACCGGATAACGAGTGAAGTATGGAAGCAAGGACTGAGAACAGAGTGTCTCACATAGAATAGGCATGCCAGTGGATAGCGGAAATCGGCCATGATGCAGAACCACTTGGGACCGTCAGATTAATTTTCTGTACCGAGCCAGCCAGGAAAAAACCCTCGCGCCGACAGACGCAGTTGTGAGGGAAGAAATCGGGTGTATATCCCCAATGGCGATTAGGCATCATGTAGACATTGCAAGCACATCACGGCAAAATATGAAAAAAAAGCAATGATAATATGCACAGAAATGAAGGGTGGGAGGGCAGGGACACTCGTGAGACTCAAAACTCACTGAAGAAGTCAGGAAAAGAAGCGACAATGAAGAACACACCAGATGTCATATTTCGAACTGAAAATATTTGCGAGAAATCATTTCTCGCCTATCTCGCTGCGCTCGGCCGGTGAGAAAAACAACATAATATATTCTACTCTCTATTCCACTCTCTATTCTACTCTCTATTCCACTCTCTATTCTACTTTCTATTCTACTCTCCATTCTACTCTCTATTCTAATCTCTATTCCACTCTCTATTCTACTCTCTATTCCACTCTCTATTCTACTCTCTATTTCACTCTCTATTCCACTCTCTATTCTACTCTCTATTCTACTCTCTATTCCACTGTCCATTCCACTCTCTATTCTACTCTCTATTCTACTCTCTATTCCACTGTCTATTCCACTCTCTATTCTACTCTCTATTATAGTCTCTATTCTGCTCTCTAAGTAGTATATGTCGGGCGGGTTCTGTGGCGGGTACATGCCCTGCTCGAAAAATGGGGTACTATTGATAGTACCCCATTTTGGGGGTAAAAAGCGGGCACCCAGTTTTTTGCGTAAAAATGATTTTCGGGTGTTGGAGGTGTTGAGGAGGTGTGACATCATGATTGTACCCCAATGGTTGTATCTGATCATTGCCCCGAATGGGAGTGGGTATAAAAAGTAGATAGAATGCTGGATGGTGGTTCACCACTCATCCCCTTTTTTTCTAAACATTTACACTGATGTATATACCGTAAAGTAAAGTTGATCCGCCCCCCACGCCCCCACGCCCCCACGCCAAGTCGCTTCCCAGCTTGTTTTTCATGGGGGGGGGGGGGGGATTCGATCAAGGCTGTTTGGTGCAGTGTCGTTGTACGACAATGCGGTGTTGTATCTTTCAGACGCAAACAGGTGAGAAAGGTCAAACTCGACGTACACATTCACACAGACTCTCACCCGAATGTTTGTTTGCGCACTAGAAAGTAGTACGAGGTTGGCTGTATGCATATGGACATGAGTACAGAAAGACTCATAATTTCTCTACCGTATAATTCTGAAGTCGCTTCAGAGACAGAAAATCGAGGGGGGGGGGGAATTAGAGTGGGGGCGGATCAACGGTACTTTACGGTACATTGTTTATTTTTTAATTTTTATTTTATTTTTTAATTTTATTTTTTTCTGGTCCCATCGGCCTCTTCATATTTGTGCAGCTGCACTGTTGAGCTTCGGATGTAAAACAAAAATCATAATAATAATCATAATAATATGGGGCCGTTGGGAGGGCCCGAATATGCATGCGCATATATATTCGCATATTTCGGTCCTTTTGACACAAGGTGGCATAAAGTAGCAAATCTAGCATATTGTACCAAATGTAGCATACTTTGCTACAAGGAGCAAAGAAGTCATGTAATTATAGGGCAGATTGCGGAATGGACATGGAAATCACTACGGCACGCTCGGTCAGGGAACACTTCCAAACTTAGCCCGGAAGGAAAAATGCTCATCCAAACACGGGGCGAAAATTTAACCCGAGAAGAGAGTGTCCGTGACTCAAGGTTGCATAAAGTAGCAAATCTAACATATTGTACCAAATGTAGCAAATTTTGCTACAAGGAGCAAAGAATTCGCATAGTTATTAGGGACGAAATGAGCATAAAATTTGAGTATTCGAACGTTCTTGATGTTAACGAACGAACGAACGAACATTCTCTAACATTCTCGTCGCACGCGCGTGCTCACGCACGAACCGGCATAGGCAAGAAAAATAGTGGAATTTTTGAATACAGTATAGCAATAAACTTTTGTGGCGCACAAATTTCGCGTTTTCATGAATGCGGCTAGTTTGTGATGAGAATATTTTTCGATTTTTACCTCTTTTGAATCTTGTACTTGTGCTGTTTCCAATGCACGTACTGGTACTGAGCAGTTTGTGGCGATTTTTCTTCTCCAGAATGCGCAATGGCCGCAAAAGTAGCGAAATTTAATCACTTGCGAAAGTTTCTAACTTTACGGTACGTCTTTTATGATGCTTTCAAAAGTTGAGGCACAATGGCCTCCAACTGAGCAACGCCATACTGCTACTGCTGAGGACCAGAATGTTGCGTCACAGCAACATTTGTCATCAACTTGCTTCCTGTTCAGTGTTGATGCCATAGAAATAACTGCACTCCCAGAGACGACAGAAGAATGCTGAAAGTTACCGTAGTTGTGTTTTCAGGTGCGCATAGAGGTTGCTCGCCGTTTTGCCATACTAAACATACGCTGCGGGAAATCCTGCAG